CTCCAGCAACTGGAGTTCAGATAATCAATTGAAATGGCTAGTCTTCATGAATTCGCGAGTTAATCGTAGTCAGATGCATGCATGTGCATAGATTTGCTAATTGACACTTCATGTGTATTACATGTGAGTTGTCACTTAATTATGTGCACATAATGGATCGCGTTATTTGTAGCACTGGAGACGTCATGTGAAGCTAACACAAGCGAACGATGCAGACAGCTAGAAACCAAATAGCACTGGGGATAAAGGTGCTGGTAGCTTAGTTGCTACACAACCACTGATAAGTACAGCATCTGATCTCTCAGAGGATTTCCTAAGATTTATGGACGTTAGTACTAATCTTACTAAGTTCTCATCGAAGTCTTAATAAACTACTAGTTTGTGATGCAAACCAATGATGCCGATATCAATCAGGAAAAAACACATGTTTGTCTCGGTGATAGTTTGTTGACATAATTTCATCAGTGAAGGAGATTTTATTTACTTTGTTTCAATTTTTTAAGGTTCAAAACTCACTCTCAGCGAATGTCTCCAGATTTGCGTCTCCTCTGTCAGCGACATCTAGATCTGCTGTGGTAGGTTATTTTATGTTATTTTACAGATTTCGGTTGGTTCCTTATCTTTGTTTTTCGTATCAATTTCTAGGGAAGCAAGATCGAAAATGAATTTATCAGTATAAAGTATTGGGTAAATTTGTGTTGTGACATCTTGTGGACTTGTCACACATGCATATGTTGCGTTTCTAGGTACTGTGTCCGTCTATTGTAGTATTCATCGGTTGTATTGCATCCACCCTAACACAGACTGCATCCGAGTTGTATTTTGGAACTGATAGATAAATGGTTCATTGATTTAATCGGTTATGAATGAGTAATTCACACGTCCAGATCGTCTTATTCTACTGCAGTTGAGAATTCCAGATAATTTGGCCATTGTTCATGGAATAGATTTGTCTCACAATACGGCTGAGGAGAATGTCGATGTGTCGAGTAGTCAGTAGTAGTCTTCGACGATTTTTTTCCTTCACGTTCCCAGTGGAACATAGGGCTTCAAGCTAGTGGCTTGAAGTTTCTGTAGCAGTATTTATTTTTACGGAATGAGGTTGCTAGCCTCATGCCCAACCTTTCTTCTTTACCAGCATTTTTGTTTGAGGCTTGACGACGTAAAGGAGTGCGTCGACCGGGGATCGAACCCCGGATCATGTGCATGGTCGACGAGCGTTCTAACCGCTATTCCACCGACGCCCTTCGACGATATGATTGGTCATTTGTACATAATCGATAACCAATGAATGACATGGATTTCCATGGATATTTACTAATTTAAGAGATGATGGAATCGGTATTACTTGATCAATCTGTTATTGTGAATAATAAAAACGGACGTGTAGATTTTCACTAGTCTAGCAGTGCATTTTAGAAGTTGTTTCCATGACATCACTGCCGATTTATCTTCCTCCAACTGACTTTCATATCCATATGTCCGCGATAGTCTCATTTCGGGAAGGTAAGCAGCGTCTCACCTGGTGATCTCAAATAAGCTTTCGACACAGACTATGCAATCAACCCACTAAACTAATTTGTGTGTTGCATATATTCACAGTGATTGTGGTGATTGCTCAGTGTTTCGTCCGAGCTTTGATATTTCGTCGTGACGTAGATGTGCAGTAGATGTCATCATGTCTTATGGTGGAACTTCCAAAGTTCGATGAACGTGGAACTATTCCCCTCCACATCTGAACTACCAATGATGTTTATTATTTGGGAATAATGACCACATATCAGATTTGATTGTGGTCGTAGAATTAAGTGTCCAATTGTACGGTTTCCGTCGAATACTAATTTGTTAGCCATTTCTGAAAGGAAGAACTTCACGTTAAAGAAACAGCCTGTAAAAGAGCAAAGCATTACAGACAGACAGACAGTGTGTAGTAGATGGATGATACCTGCCTGCTGTAGATAGTAATCGCCTGATAAGTACTTCGATAACCAAATGAGATTAGATAATATAGTGATGTGAAAAAGAAATAAAATTCTAACTGATATCCTCCTAGTTTATTGACTAAAATGATGTAGGTTTATACTTATTCAATTTTGTGTGTGTATAGCTGATCCTAGTAGTATCAGTCGGTAATACTGTCACTATATTATTTCCTTGATTGCAGTTGAGTTTTCCACATTATTTTTACGTGGAAACATCCATGATTACTTTGTATATACCATTCGTGGTTATATTTCTTGTTTTGCTTAAGAACAAACAGACAAACCAACAGAAGTCATCTCGGACTATAAACAACAATGCGTCCATAACTCAGAGGAGCCAAATCAAACCATCTGGAATACGCAAATGAAGCACATTTGACATATGTAGTACTTGTCTTCATATGATGGATTCACTGTACAAATTTAACATTATTTTACTTTTCCTTTTATATCATCTCTGCTTGTCTTGTGATCGTTTATCTTTGAATTAATTTGCAATAATATATTAACTTTCTGAAAGCCTTTTTAAAATCTATATTGTGTAATGTAATTAATTGATTAATTAACTGATGGATTGGAAACGCTGGATACAGAAAACTTGTTTCCCAGTGTGTATGCAATTGGTAGTTTGTAGTAAGTTGGGATTACTTGCGAACTTCGAGCACCAGTAGTGGTAGCAGCAGCAAAGAAACACGAAAGCATCGTGCATTTCGAGCGTCGTCAGATTATTCACTGTTGTCGTCAAAGTTGATTTGTTCTATATGAATTTTTTGACTTCCTAGTGGAATTGGGGGCTTTAGACCTCACCTTTTATTCTTAACAGGTAAGGTTTCGGTTTCACGGGATGGAGTTGTTAGTTAGTCACACACCCAACCTTATGTCTTTGCTGGATTAAGATGTGCATCGCGGGGGGGGGGGGATCGAAACCTAGCCTACGTGTGTGTGTGTTGTTAGCGTGTATTCTACTGGCGGACTTCCATTGCATCTATTTTCTTTCTTTAATGTAGTACACATTACAAAAAGCCTGTAAGCGGTTGACTAGATCCTTCAATGAAAACGTTATCACCTCAATTCAGATAGTGATTTTAGGTGTGATAAGTATAAAACTAGATTTATCGATTCTATTCAGTCGTTCGAAAGGACAGTCCGATTTTAAGAAATAAGTCTAACGCGCTACAAGTCATAGAGAATGAAATGTATCGAATAAAGAAGCGATTGAATACAGTGGGCTCATTTATGCATAGTGAGTGATAAGCTAGAAAAAACTACTTATCGTTATGAATACCTAGAGTTATTGGATGTCTGTCGCGATTAACAGTCAACAAGTGTGTCGGAATTAATTCCCGTTGTAAATTTAGGAAAGGTGTAACTTCTTCGGGTCATATGAAACATAGGCACACTAAATATTACATTCGGATTACACTCATACTTTTCATGCGCACAATTCTGTTTTAGTACAGGAGATTTTTACTTCATGTGGATGTGTTTAAGGTGTTTCTGAATTGGTTGGCTTAATAGCGATGCTTTCACTAACTCCCAAAGCATCTGTAGCGCTAACCTCCATGTACTGGCAATAACTAACACTAATTGATTGAGGGTCAGACTACTATGCGTTACATTTGCATTGTTGAATACTTATATAATTGGAAATATTGAAGACAAGCGTCATTCCATTTGACAATACATGCTAATGAGATGTGCTGCTACCAAACAAACACTGAGGAAGTAGCTGCAACTTACCTGATGAAGTAGTTTGTTTAAGTGAAAACCGAGGTGTAGACTGCTTGATGGAGGTCCTGAAGATGCTGAGATCCAATGGATGGAAACTGTTGGTTGGAGGGGTCTCAGATAATGCACTAGTCAATGTGACACTTCGCTCCGCGTCTCACTGGTACACTTTTCCCCATTCTTATCAGTGGGGATAATGAACTATCACATGGAACAATCATAGGCTGTTACGCACAACTGACTGGGAATTCAGTTACTCTTGTCAATAATTTAACGACATGATCCTTAAGAACCTGTAGGGTTAAATCATTAGGTCTAGTTGCCTTTCGGACGGATTCGGGTAAGAGAACTTTCACAGCCTTAGTTCGATAAATTTCATGAAGAAAAGAAAATTATAAACCACTTCTACTCTCATGGTAACAACCCCGTTGTTTTGACGTGACTTTTGTTTGATATGACCTTACTTTTGTTTGTATGCTTATTTTTCTAACTACTTAAAACCCTTGTGTAATTCCGTATGTTATTTTGTTTCCATGTACACCCTGAGCACAACACTCTCATCAAACTATTCATGCCATCACGTAACTCTTATTTAACAATCATTTATGACAACTCATCACTTTTGTTACTACCCTCTTATCAACATCCAATTCATCTGAACTTACTAACTGTATTTTCGTTTGACAAATTTAATGTATATATGTTTATACAAAATAATCATATATATTTGCGTTTGTACAGCTATGAAAATGAATTCGCCCAAAAGAGACTTCGCTGAACTACTTGTCTTTTGTCTATTAAATTTCATAAAGATACATTTTCAGAACTTGAAGTTACTAAAGATATGAAACGAAAGATTTCTTTATCATTTACTTCGGACGCATTGTATACTTTTGATAAAACGGGTGTATACAAGTTCGTAACACTGGATAATTTCGACACTCTATTTTAATGATGAAAGAAGTCATCTGATTGTAAATCTGCACATATAGGAAGAGGTTCGAACCGAATATAAAAACAGACATGCCATCATTGTTTCTGTAAATAAATCGATATATTCCGTCGAGAATGACTCTAAGTATGAAACATTCAAGAGTGAACTGGATTCTGCTTACATACACCCATTCTTCTACTTGAAATCAGAAACCAGTCATCTTTTCGAAAAGTAAATGCATATTTTCTTTATAAAAACAACACTAGATTAATTGTGTATCAAAAATATGCTGAGAAATTATCACATACACAAATAACAATCTCCGTCATCATCACCATCATCGAAACTCTTATTGGTCAGGAAGTAAAAAAGTTGACATTTTTGATATATTCGTCTAGTGAATAACTAGTCGTTTGTGATAACAAATTCTCTTCTTCAATCCAAAGATAAGAATCATTTGCATCAAAAAATGGATTTTCACCTGTTTGAAATTGATAATTCTTCTCCACTGACAGCCTTTTTCGGCACTTATTATCATTGGAGTCATCATTCATTCTCAATTTCATTTCCATATAGTAGGCGTGCAACATCATACGTTTTAGTTTATAATCCAGGTGTATATTATGAGTTCTATAAACATCGTGCTTGTATTCTACATCAATATGATTGAATGGACGACGTGAATAAGTGATATCTCCAGCGATTGGATGACCCAAACCCACTGCACAGTGTACACGTAACTGATGTCGACGTCCAGTATTAGGAATAAGAAGTACACGTGTAGCTGGTTCACCCATCAAATTGCCATAATCAAGAATAATAACTGTAGTAGAAGATTCCCGTGGTCTCTGAAATATGTTTTGCAAATATAGTTTAAAAATAATGCTGTGAGCCAGTAAAATGAAAGAAAACTCACTAACGATTGTGATTAGTATTCGAAAATTTACTAGCATGATCAATAATCACATTACAGTCCCACTTATATGTGATATGTACATCATGAGAATTATTATTATTGCCTTTAGGAATAAGAAGTACACGTGTAGCTGGCCCTCCCATCAATTAGTCATATTCACACAGAATGATTGTACTAGTGTGGTGTGTGCTACTGATAAGGTATATAAGTAGTATATAGATATAAGTATGTGTGCCATTTGTGAGAATAGCGAAGAGATGGATTTTATTACTGTTATGTACTCGTCGCTAAATTATTGTTATGGACTGGTCGATAAACTAATAGTCCTGACGCGAGAAGGCGGAAATCAGAAGACCACTAGGTTTGCGATGATACTTCTATTGTCCAAACACAAGGAGACGAAAATAAATGGTCTCACACCAAAGTGATAAGTAAGTAAAGTAGTTGTAAAGTAAAAGTAGTTCACACAAATTGTGAATGCGAATATATATAAATAATTCAGACAAGCGTGGGAAAAATCATTAGACAGTCTTAACATGAATGGCTAATTATAATGGAGTGTCGATCCAATTATACATAGCGAATATAGCAGACATGCCAACAATATGGATATATGTCACCAAGCAACGGACTGTCAACAAACACTCATATTATATATAATATAATATAAGGAGAATATACATTATTAAAGGAGACAAGTCCATACAAGTGAAGTGGTCACAGACTAACCGAGCAAACAGAAAGAGAGACCAACATGCACACACACACACATAAATATATATATGTGGATACATATCAATTACAGAGAGGAGCAATGAAAGATGCATGTGAAACTGTTATGTACTCGTCGACTAAATTATTGTTATTATGGACTGGTCGCGAATTTAATAGTCCTGACGCAAGAAGGCGGAAATCAGAAGACCACTAGGTTTGCGATGATACTTCTATTTTCCAAACACAAGGAGAATGCAAAAGTGGTAAGTAGTGAGTAAGTAAGTCACACAAATTGTGAGAGCGAAATATATATGAATTTGTGTGAACAAATCAATAGACAGTCTTAACATGAATGGCTAATTATAATGGAGTGTCGATCCAAATATACATAGCAAAATATAGCAGGCATGTCAACAACCACCATATTGGATATATGTCACCAAGCAACGGACTGTCAACAAACACTCATATTATATATAATATAGGGGGAATATACATTGTTAAAGGAGACAGGTTCATACAAGTGAAATGGTCACAGACTAAGAGAGCAAACAGAAAGAGAGACCAACATACACACACACACAAATATATAAATGTGGATACATATCAGAAACAATATATGAAAAGCATGAAGGGAAGACAAAGAAGCGCAATACAGAAGATATGTGTGAATTTTGATTTTAACAAATGGCTGACCTGTTTTGTCTATATCTGTACGTCGAGTCGCCAATATGTGATTCTGTTGTCAAGTACCTTTGTGTTCTGTCATTACATTTGATATTGCCGCCTGCGGACTGTGAAGATCTCATAACCTCCAGCTTTCCAAGGTGACATGGAGGTTTTGCGAGACTTAGATGCCGTTGTGCTGCGAACGTCCCTAGGAGGCCGGGCACAGGCGGAGTATGACAATGTGGAGAGTCAGGTGGTGGGAGACCTGGAAGGTAATGGTGGAAAATTTAGTGGTGGAGTTCAACAGACCAATGGACAGACAGCAGCCCCGTGCCATGAAGCTAGGACCTGATGAAGGACCACTGGTACTGGCGGTGATGCTGAAAACTTTACTTCCCCACACTTAATGGAGAGTCAAGAGTGGCTGCAATTGGTTCCTCAGTTTTGCGAAAGTGTCTCACGACACATTTCTCAGATACTTTGACTGCTTAACACTATATAACGTATGAACATTGGTGAGCTCTCGAAGATAACCTGCCGGCTACAAAGCAAAACTGTAGCTGGAAAAAGTCACCAGAAAAGAACCAGTGGGAACATAAAGTCAAATATTCGCAGCTCAAAGTAGGCACGATACGAATGAGCGCCAGAGAAGGCAAACGGTTTGCATGTGACAAACTAGGACACTAGAAAAAGTACTCCACGGAAAGACGGAATAGAAAATATTCCAGACAGTATAGTGTGTGTTCTTTCCCCCACATAATACTATAAGTGGTGGAGGCAATCGAGAGGTGTACCATGTATTGTAATTTGCGAGTGAATGACCAAGGAGTAGTATGTTTAATAGATGCAGGCATAGAAAAGAATCTGTGTCACAGCGCCATGCCGTGTTCATTAACAGTTCAGAAAGTAGGTGGACATGTGTTAAAAATCACAGGCATGTCAAACTAGAGAATTCACACTGGAGATCACAAAGTAACCTTTCCATTCATTCTTTTGCATCAGTTACAACTGATGAGACAAGTTATTGCAGTTGTCATTACGAAGTAAAGGGTTATGATTACAAAGTATGGATGGATCTACCATCATGCATGAGGACAGTGAGACAGAAGAAATGGATGCGTCGGAAATAGCGAATATAGCAATATTAGTTAAAGAATACGACCACCGGTTCAATTCAGACGGAGACTCTTACTGTTATTGTGATCAGGTTAGGCGTAACATCCCAGTGGATAGGTCAGAGCTGACAGCCCGAATGGCTCTGCAATCATTTTAGTGAAAAAAACCAGGCGGAAGGTACAGATTCTGTGTTGATTTCCGACAGCCGTAGGTCATAACACAACAGAGACCCTACATTACGCCAACTGCATCAGAAAGCCCCAATCGCCTACAAAGTGCAAATATGTTTGTTTACACTTATAGACCTTCGGTTAGGATACTGGCAAATACTAATAAAACAAGGCGACAGAATTCATCGTGGGGCAGAAATAAAATCGGTTTAAACTCATGCCACTTTGACTGGCAGGTGCATCCTTTGTATTCGGGCGATTAATGACACCATTTAAAAACCTGAAGAAAGCAAGGGTACACGGTTATTTCGTAACATGTAGTCAAACTGAAAGTGACCATATGGAACATATACAAGCGGTTCTAAGACGCACTGAACAGTATGGACCATGTATCAATAAGACAAAACCTCAGAAGGCTAAAAGGAGTGCAGCGCTGTCGTGTTATAAGAGTAGGCGATGTTGAGATAAAACCGCTACCTGAGAAAATTTCGACAGTAAAACACCGCTACGCCTCCGAATTCTAGAAGAAAGCTAAGACAGTCCTTGAGAGTAGAAGGGTTTCATATTCGGTTTCTGGAAGAAGACTTCAATGAGGCAGCAGCCCCTATGTACAGACTGTTAGGTTAGTTGAAGTTGATTTGGTCGGGCGATTCTCAGAAAATATTTCACTGCACTAAACAGCCTCTAGACCATCAGCAAATGACATTAAAACAATTCACGGTGCGCACAGATGCGAGTAACCACGAAATAGGTGCAGTAGTAACACAGGGTGAAGCAGTTGTCAAATACGCCAGTAGTGTTTTAACACACACGAAGTAGAAGTATTCAACGACAGAGAAAGAAGTTTTACCAATAGTATAGACGGTAGACAAATGGAGACCTTATTTACCCGGACAACGGTTCCACATCGAAACTGATCATCAATTACTTATGACAGCGAGAGGCCCACGTGGGAAACTGACCCAGTGGATGTTGGACCTACAGGAATACAACTTCACACTTTACCAGCACAGAAAACTTCTTATATAGATGAGAATTCGAAGCTGAGTTACCAGAGACTGCATATAGAGTGCATGCATTGGAACAAGGCTTATTAGAGCTTGCCCATAGTTAGAAACCGGGCACTGCCCTGCATACAGTAACACAGGTGAGGAGCTACCCATGCAGCTCACGCAGAAGGAAAGACTTGGCGAGAGAATGCAAGCTAGCTGACATTAGTACCTACGTGATACAAGAATACCACCAGTTAACACATACAGGGGCAGCCAGAGAAAGATGTTGCAAAATATGCACTGGAATGTCCACAGTGCCAGTTGTCCAAAGGAGATGGGTGCATACAACTGTCACTAGTTAATTCCAGTCACGGCGATAGGTGACTTGTAGTCCGTAGATGTAATGACATCTTTTCCTCACACATCCAATGGAAATCAGTACTTCCTGGTAATGACTGAACGCGCTACAAGACAGGTAGACGCCATCACGACCCCGGATCAACAGGGATATACTTATTATTCATTATGCGATTATAAGTGTGTCTGGAGTTAACTAAAATATACTAAACATTCAGGTACAAAATTGGATATCAAAAATCATAGTGTTGTACACAGACGGCCAATGAAGTGTAATGGATTAGTGTTCATTTGTTCTGTTCAAGCTTGTAAACAGACAGACATACATCACATAGTGTCCGAGAAGAACAATATTTGCTACACATTTATGTGGTTAGAGGTATGCAATTATGAAATGAAGAACATATGTATAGTTAAACAAAGAAAAGCGTACCGAATCGTAAAGCATTGTTTAATAGTAAATGTCCAGAAGTAATTCAGTTTTCAGAAATATTAGTCATTCACTGATTTTAAGAAAAGCTGAGGTTGTTTCAATGTTTCCAATGAACATATGGCTCAAAAGATAACTTTTCAAATAACATACTTGTTATTGAAGTATTGGTTTGTAGGGATTTGGTTGATCGGTTACAGGATTTCATCATGAGCTGACATCAGTTAGAGAACCATTGGAAAACCAACAGGGAGTATTGGGCAACTGTTTCGTCCTAGTTCGGGACTTGTCAGAAGTACGCACCCACCGGGGTTCGAACCCAGGACCTTCTGGTTACGGGCTCGTAACCAGAAGGTCCTGGGTTCGAACCCCTCTCCGAAAACGTGTAGCTGAACACTATCCGGTTTGGTTAATGAAAGGCGAACGTAGAACTGCAAAGTCGTCTATTTGTGATCACCTGTTAGAGTCTGGTCATTTAGCCCCACGTGATTCATCTTTCAAAGTTATCTACATGGCAAAATCGAATCGATCCTAAAGTTTACGTTTTCTTTACTTATGCATAGCCGAAGCTTTAGCTCTACATGAACAGAAACCTAAATTATGTGTTCAAAAGCGTTTTGTCAAACCCCTTTCTTTACTTTGGTCATAGTAATGTTCTTTCTAGTTTTTATTTTATTTTACTACTTGAATACTTTCCACTTCACTTCACATCTTCATTCTTATCGTAATCGTACTCCTAATTTTCAAAATATTTAGACAACACTTGACATTTTTGTTATAAAACAATCTTTAATATTTTTGTAATTTATCCACTTCAACTCTACCCCTTATAACATTGTAATTATGCTTACTTTTATCACATATATACGTACATTGACTGAACAATTATTTAGTGCCACTTAAAAACCTTTTTCTGTAATATAAATACGACTGTACATTTAGCTTGAAAATGAAGTCGTTGAAAAGAAATTTCTTCGCTGAAAAAAAACTGTGTTGTTACTGATGAATAAATGGGTATTTTTCGAGATTATAAGATAATAACTAACATACACGAACCAGTAAGATAGATAGTAGTTTTTCATACTACCAATTGGATTCTGATTGGCCGCAACGTCATGTGACAAAGGTCATACTTTGTTATTTAGTTAGTAGACACACAAAATAGACTGAGTCATAGTGAACTAACGGTCAATAGGCATATAGCAAAAGATATCACACTTACAAACCACGCAGTTATCACGTGACTACATACCAGAATGGAGCTTATGGAATTCAATAGTAAGTAATAGAAAATTAAACCAAGGTAGTAGTAATAACAGTATTTGCTGGGGTTTGTACCACATTTAAACCAAAGAATCCAATTAGAAATAAAATAAATCAACCAAAAGATCCAATAAGAATGATGCATAAAAACAAAGTGATTTACAAAATATCTTGTGCTGAATGTCCGACTAAATATCCCAGTCAGGCGTGCAGATCACTCAAAATAAGAGTGACTAACTAAGAGTCAACCAACAGAAACACAAGCTTACAAGAATTTAGAAAAAAATTCGTCTATAGCTGCCTATGCATGGGACATAAACCACAATACCGATTAGAACAATGTTTGTATTCTAAAAACTAATATGAACAAATGGAAAGAGGCAGATAACAGAATCTGTATTCATTAAGGTCACATCGGATACATGTAACAAGGGTGACTCAGCACCAGAACTGTCAACAACCTGGAATATAATTCATATGAACTGTGATCAAGATTTGACCGGATATAATTTTAAAAACCTGGAATATAATTCTGAAGACCAAAAAATGAATGGACAAAAAAAAGTGAACTATGTGTATGAGTACAAATCATAAATGTGTGAATTAATAAAAACAAAACAATTCCAACAGTGGTGTGAACACGGGCAGAAATTTTTCTCGAAATATTATCAATAACAATTCTTATCATTGTCTGTAAACTATTGAAATACAATTATACTTTATTTGATATCATTTCGTAGTATCTTTACAACCGCTTTACAGCTAACATGGTTGACAATAATAATAAAATAAAATGCATGACAATTACTCAGTTATATAAAACAAAAGTTCAGAACAACGACCAATGATATTTAAGTAGGTCATGTAGTCCATGGTAGGCGAAGGTTGAAGACTATTATTTTAATAATGTAATTATTTGAAAAGGGACTACCGAAGTGAAACATTTAAAAACGATTATTTGTTGTTGAACGAAAATTAACAAAACCTTTGAAAGACACGACTCATATTTTGGAATTTCCTCAAGATATCCTCAAGCATATAATTAATTTATCTATTTGCACTCTATCCCAACACAGTTGGAAGCATTGTCTTATGGTTTGAAGTACAAAACTATTCCTATGAATATAAACAAAATGGAAGTCCAGTCACAGTATGAAAACCTCTGATTTAACTCCTTCTAGTAAAGATGATCTGGACTGGTTTAAAGTTAAACTGGTGGACATTTCTCACCAATTTCTAAGTGCTAGAGTACACCAGGAAAATGGTTTATCAAAAGAACGCCACGGCGCACTTAATCGAAAAAGATAATCTTATTATCCTTAAATCTGATAAGGTAGAAGGCGTTATCATCATGAATAAATCGGATTATCAAAATAAAATGAATGATATTCTCAAAGATCAGTCCAAATTTCTGGTGGACAATGCTACTGATACTGTCCTGCTTGTGGAAAAGCAGATCAATCGTCAGCTTTAGATTTTACTGATGCATGGTTTTATAAAAGAAAAACTTTATAAACAACTTAAAGCTATTGCGTCACATACTCCCCGGCTTTATGGCCTTCCGAAAATGCACAAAAATGGGAACCCACTGAGACCCATCTTAGACATATCGAATTCTCCATACCATAAAATCGCGAAATGGATTACAGAGGTCCTTACGTCTGTAAGAGACTCATTATCAAATCATTCTGTAAAAAGTTCATTTGATCTTACAGAAATGCTAGACACCTTGAACAATAAGGAAAAGGTTATGTGTTCAATTGACATAGAATCTTGAAACTGTTGATTTTATTTGCGATTACATCACAAGCAATGGGATAAACTTACCTATTCCTGACAGACATCATCTTAATGTGTACAGAAAATATTAAATTCACCTTCCAAGAAAAGACATACAAACAAATCGATGGTGTTGCGATGGAGAGCCCTATTAGTAGATATATTCATGTCGAAATTGGAAAAACAAATGCACGGTATGCTTGGAGAATTTATGCTATAGAAACGTTAGGTAGATGTTACTCTCATAATACATAATAATAGTAAATCTATTGAAAACTTTATTACCCTATTTAATCATATTCATTCAAAAGTTGAAGTATATTGTTTTAATAATGCAATCAGTTAAAAAGAGACTATTGAAGTAAGGCATTAAAAACGATTATTTGTTATTGAAGCAAAGGGGTTAACTACAAATTAGGGTAACAACAACTGGCGTTGAATAAAACCTATCGAAGTGACCCTCACCACAGACAAAAAACAAACCATAACCAGTTAAGTGGGCCATCATCTACTTTGACAACAATATTGTATAACATGAAAACTCTTAAAATGCACGATGCCTTCATGTTTCTTTGCTGCTGCTACCACTACTGGTGCTCGAAGTTCGCAAGTAATCTCAACTTACTACAATCTACTAATTTCATGCACCTTGGAAAACAACTTCACTGTCTCCAGTTTCCAATTAACTAATGACAAAACACAATATAGATTTTAAAAAGGCTTTCAGAAAGTTAATATATTATTGCAAATTAATTCAAAGATAAACGATCACAAGACAAGCAGAGATGATATAAAAGAAAAAGTAAAATAATGTTAAATTTGTACAGTGAATCCATCATATGAAGACAAGTACTACATATGTCAAATGTGCTTCATTTGCGTATTCCAGATGGTTTGATTTGGCTCCTCTGAGTTATGGACGCATTGTTGTTTATAGTCCGAGATGACTTCTGTTGGTTTGTCTGTTTGTTCTTAAGCAAAACAAGAAATATAACCACGAATGGTATATACAAAGTAATCATGGATGTTTCCACGTAAAAATAATGTGGAAAACTCAACTGCAATCAAGGAAATAATATAGTGACAGTATTACCGACTGATACTACTAGGATCAGCTATACACACACAAAATTGAATAAGTATAAACCTACATCATTTTAGTCAATAAACTAGGAGGATATCAGTTAGAATTTTATTTCTTTTTCACATCACTATATTATCTAATCTCATTTGGTTATCGAAGTACTTATCAGGCGATTACTATCTACAGCAGGCAGGTATCATCCATCTACTACACACTGTCTGTCTGTAATGCCTTGCTCTTTTACAGGCTGTTTCTTTAACGTGAAGTTCTTCCTTTCAGAAATGGCTAACAAATTAGTATTCGACGGAAACCGTACAATTGGACACTTAATTCTACGACCACAATCAAATCTGATATGTGGTCATTATTCCCAAATAATAAACATCATTGGTAGTTCAGATGTGGAGGGGAATAGTTCCACGTTCATTGAACTTTGGAAGTTCCACCATAAGACATGATGACATCTACTGCACATCTACGTCACGACGAAATATCAAAGCTCGGACGAAACACTGAGCAATCACCACAATCACTGTGAATATATGCAACACACAAATTAGTTTAGTGGGTTGATTGCATAGTCTGTGTCGAAAGCTTATTTGAGATCACCAGGTGAGACGCTGCTTACCTTCCCGAAATGAGACTATCGCGGACATATGGATATGAAAGTCAGTTGGAGGAAGATAAATCGGCAGTGATGTCATGGAAACAACTTCTAAAATGCACTGCTAGACTAGTGAAAATCTACACGTCCGTTTTTATTATTCACAATAACAGATTGATCAAGTAATACCGATTCCATCATCTCTTAAATTAGTAAATATCCATGGAAATCCATGTCATTCATTGGTTATCGATTATGTACAAATGACCAATCATATCGTCGAAGGGCGTCGGTGGAATAGCGGTTAGAACGCTCGTCGACCATGCACATGATCCGGGGTTCGATCCCCGGTCGACGCACTCCTTTACGTCGTCAAGCCTCAAACAAAAATGCTGGTAAAGAAGAAAGGTTGGGCATGAGGCTAGCAACCTCATTCCGTAAAAATAAATACTGCTACAGAAACTTCAAGCCACTAGCTTGAAGCCCTATGTTCCACTGGGAACGTGAAGGAAAAAAATCGTCGAAGACTACTACTGACTACTCGACACATCGACATTCTCCTCAGCTGTATTGTGAGACAAATCTATTCCATGAACAATGGCCAAATTATCTGGATTTCTCAACTGCAGTAGAATAAGACGATCTGGACGTGTGAATTACTCATTCATAACCGATTAAATCAATGAACCATTTATCTATCAGTTCCAAAATACAACTCGGATGCAGTCTGTGTTAGGGTGGATGCAATACAACCGATGAATACTACAATAGACGGACACAGTACCTAGAAACGCAACATATGCATGTGTGACAAGTCCACAAGATGTCACAACACAAATTTACCCAATACTTTATACTGATAAATTCATTTTCGATCTTGCTTCCCTAGAAATTGATACGAAAAACAAAGATAAGGAACCAACCGAAATCTGTAAAATAACATGAATAACCTACCACAGCAGATCTAGATGTCGCTGACAGAGGAGACGCAAATCTGGAGACATTCGCTGAGAGTGAGTTTTGAACCTTAAAAAATTGAAACAAAGTAAATAAAATCTCCTTCACTGATGAAATTATGTCAACAAACTATCACCGAGACAAACATGTGTTTTTTCCTGATTGATATCGGCATCATTGGTTTGCATCACAAACTAGTAGTTTATTAAGACTTCGATGAGAACTTAGTAAGATTAGTACTAACGTCCATAAATCTTAGGAAATCCTCTGAGAGATCAGATGCTGTACTTATCAGTGGTTGTGTAGCAACTAAGCTACCAGCACCTTTATCCCCAGTGCTATTTGGTTTCTAGCTGTCTGCATCGTTCGCTTGTGTTAGCTTCACATGACGTCTCCAGTGCTACAAATAACGCGATCCATTATGTGCACATAATTAAGTGACAACTCACATGTAATACACATGAAGTGTCAATTAGCAAATCTATGCACATGCATGCATCTGACTACGATTAACTCGCGAATTCATGAAGACTAGCCATTTCAATTGATTATCTGAACTCCAGTTGCTGGAGAAGGGTTACAACGTATCACAAATAGCTTCCAAGTTAAGTTAGAAGACTATATATATTACATCGCATGCACAGAATAGGCAAAGACCTCTGACTCATAAGCGAGGATCGATTGACTTGTCATTACTCTCTCTATCCTATCGGCATCCTTTTGATAAACATTTCCCAAAGCTTTCGAGAAAATCTGCCAACCGAATGAAATGTATGATTGATATAAGTATAAAACTTGGGCATTCTAGTGGAATATAACTCCATTATGGATAAGATTTTATTTCGATAAATCACACAGTGTTATGCAGTAATATTAACTGATGACGTTTCGGGGACAAATTGTTGCCGCTCATAATAATATCGAGTTACTCACACATCTATTTCCTTCATTTATATACATGTGTGGAATTGACTAGATATTGGAATAAAAATCAATATGGGATGATGTACATTCAGAAATAATAATAATACGAGTGTTATTGATTCATTACCATCAGATGGGAAATAAGACGAGTGTTTTTATAGTCATAATAAGTTACTTGTTAGAATGTTGTGATGTGCTTGAATTGAAATACAATTTCGAGATTATTTATTATCCTCTGCTGATTTGAGTTACTGGTGGTAATAATACCTTCCATATTTCTGGTATTTGCATTGAGTCATTTCTGTTGCATGTGAGTGAAATGTCTCACAAAATTAAGTCGACTCAATTCGACAAACTTTGCAATAAAATCGCCCGTGGAGGAAATGACTTGTCGACAATTATATATGTAGTGGGACAGAAACATTAGGCGATCAAACTAAAATAATCGCACTAACAAACATTGTGTCCGGTCCGGTAAAACTAAACCAGGTTAATAAGACGTTAGGCTAAGAAAGCTGATATGGCCAGTACTACAGAGTAATCGTGGGAACGAGATGCAAACATTCAACCAAACAGCTAATGGCAAAAATAGGTACGATCAAGTAGACCATCGGAACTAACGCCTACTAACTACACAAGATCACACGCTGTTTCTCATGATATTGGCAACAAAATAAACAAGAAGGCTCACCTTAAGAACACGCGGCGTGGAACACATTTTCTTCTCACCGAGTTGTCCGCTGCTGCTTGTCTTAGGTGTGCTTGAGACAATCTTCTTCTGAGATGAACTCATAGATGAAATGCTGGAGGGCGTTTTACAAGAAATAGGAGTTTTGAACAAAGGCTGAACCCTGGCTCGTGGTGTCCGAAGTGATGACAGGGACTCAGATGAACCAATTCGACTTAGTGAGATCAAGCTGGAACTTGTCACGTTAGCTAACTGGCAAGTACTGGAGTCAGTCCGCTTCCTCTCCCTTGTCGCCACTCTCGACTGGATTATAAATGAAAACGCAAGGAAACAAAACAATATGTCAGTTAAGAGAAAAATACGTGATAATAACAGAAACGGGTGATGACAGCAATCACATCGAGGCAGTAGAAACCTCAGTTGTCTAGAGGACGTTTGGGAAAGCGCAGGTTGTGGACACGCTTGGAGTGACAGATTTCACGCTGTTCGGAAGAGAACATAGCCTTCATGCTACCATAGCGCTTAACTCGGTGATCAAACGCATCACTATTCTCGCCACAAAGCGGAAATTCACCTAAGAGTGATAAGTGCGATGTGAACGGACTCAGATGAAGAATAAGTCAAGTGGAAACAATGGAGGCCAGGAATTCGACTTTTGCCTCAGTCGAGGTATCTTCAACATGTATCGAACCCATGATCTGTCAAAAGACAAGCATGTCACGCCCTGCTTATCGGTCTCCAGCAAGACGATCAGTTCGATAAATCCCAAGGAGGTTTGAACAGGGTAAAAAGCAACAATCCAGTACTCTCTGGTCATAAGTGGCTCTACCCATCTAAAGTCTGTGTGAAAACCAATCCAACACAAGTGTTTCACGTTGGGAAAAGGTAGATGAAATAGACAATTTACCTCACAATCGAAGATCTTATTGTCGATGCAGATCATTTATTGCAGAAACTTATTCCCCTAGTGTTATGTACTAGTTTCCCCGTCGCCAAATTGTTATGTACTCGTCGCTAAATTATTGTTATGGACTGGTCGAGAAATTAATAGTCCTGACGCGAGAAGGCGGAAATCAGAGGACCACTAGGTTTGCGATGATACTTCTATTGTCCAAACACAAGGAGACGAAAATAAATGGTCTCACACCAAAGTGGTAAGTAAGTAAAGTAGTTGTAAAGTCACAAGATTGTGAATGCGAAATATATATGAATGTTCCAGACAAAGCGTGGGAAAAAAATCATTAGACAGTCTTAACATGAATGGCTAATTACAATGGAGTGTCGATCCAAATATACATAGCGAATATAGCAGACATGTCAACAAACACTCATATTATATATAATATAATATAAGGAGAATATACATTATTAAAGGAGACAAGTTCACACAAGTGAAATGGTCACAGACTAACCGAGCAAACAGAAAGAGAGACCAACATACATACACACACACACATAAATATATATATGTGGATACATATCACCTCCCCTTTTGAGAAGATGGATGATTAGTAGGATGTTTACCTGGGGGTTTATCTGGAACCTTTGGGCTTGTTGTTGACGTCTGTCGTTTCGTCTGCCTGTTGGGTTTGCGGCTTCGGCTTCGTCCGGAATTGTCTGGCATTTTATGCTTCTTGACTGCACTGCATAGCGAATTTAGTGGGACATCAGCCAGATGCAAACGATCGAACCAATCAAGTCCCAAAAGATTTAAATCACTCTTGGTGACGTAGCAAATTCCTGTGAATTTGGTATTGCGGAAGGAAACGGAACATTTGAGTTCACCAATTAGTTTGAGCCGCCCACCACAGGCGCTGATAAAAGTCTGGGAAGTATATCCGATCGGTGGTCTGCCAATATTATTCCAAAGTTTCTCTGATATAACAGTAATATCAGAGGCGGTATCTAGCTGCAGACGTGCATCATGTTCGTTCATCTGAAGATCAAGATATTTCCGCATACCTGGCGTTGTGACTTGACGGGTTGCGCGTAAACTCAATGACTTTTTGGGGGATTTAGGACCAACATTTTGTTGAGCTTTTGCTGGATTTTGACATCTGGGCTTGCGTGGCTGACAAAAACCATTTTTATGACCGATGATTTTACACTTGCTGCAACGATGATTTTTGTACGGACAAGACTTTACAAAGTGCCACGCGCCACAATGCCAGCATGGTGATGGAGGGGTCTTCTTTGTCGTATTTTGTGAAGTTGGACGAGTATCTGTAGATTTCCGCGGGACATTAGAAGAAGGTGGGTCAGGAGTGGATGATGAGAGATTTTTGCTCTTGCGTAATGCACGAATATCAGAGCTTCTCGAAGGTGTTGATTCGACCAGGTGTGTCTTTCTGCAGATTAATCAGCCGTTGATATTCATCAGCTATGTCATGTAATGTTAACTTGGGATTTTGTTCTAGCTGATTGAGCAGTCGAGTTCGGATATCTGTGAAACGAGGAGATTGAAGACTGCATATGAGAATCAAGGCTTTGAATTGATCATCTGTTAAGGACCTGAGTCGAAATCTCTCACATTCTCGGTTGACTGTGCCAACGTGAGTAAGAAAATCATCATTTTCATTCATTGTCAGCTTGAGGCAACGATAACGTATGCTGAATAATGAGGAGTGGTCTCCAAAATGTTCACGCAGCAGCTTTATTGTATCATCGAAACACTTGTCACGTGGTTTCTGGGGTAAAATTAGGTTGCAGTACCGTTCATATTCTGCGGGACCCAATTTACGTAACAACACTCGCACCTTCCAAGCATCGTCTTGTGAGGCGAGATCAACAGTGAATAAATCCTCATAACGTTGATACCATGTGTCAAAAGTGACATTAGCCTCTGGGTCATAATTGAACTGTGAAATACTGTTCACAATTCCGTCGACAGATGGTAGCATGGTATGATTCGGATTGCTTGAAGGTGAAGCTGGACCAGTCTGTTGGTTGACGAACATTTCCATTAATTTCATTTGTCGTTCAAACAATAATTCCAATTTAATAGGATCCATAGTAAATTGTTATGTTGTTGCTGCTGTGTGGTTAATAGTAGTTTTCCCTGTCGCCAAATTGTTATGTACTCGTCGCTAAATTATTGTTATGGACTGGTCGAGAAATTAATAGTCCTGACGCGAGAAGGCGGAAATCAGAAGACCACTAGGTTTGCGATGATACTTCTATTGTCCAAACACAAGGAGACGAAAATAAATGGTCTCACACCAAAGTGGTAAGTAAGTAAAGTAGTTGTAAAGTCACAAGATTGTGAATGCGAAATATATATGAATGTTCCAGACAAAGCGTGGGAAAAAAATCATTAGACAGTCTTAACATGAATGGCTAATTACAATGGAGTGTCGATCCAAATATACATAGCGAATATAGCAGACATGTCAACAAACACTCATATTATATATAATATAATATAAGGAGAATATACATTATTAAAGGAGACAAGTTCACACAAGTGAAATGGTCACAGACTAACCGAGCAAACAGAAAGAGAGACCAACATACATACACACACACATAAATATATATATGTGGATACATATCACCTAGCTAAATCAATCTGTAGTGGGTGACACGTGAACTTTAAAGACTTGGAAAGTTGAATCCTGATATAAGAAAAATAAGCACTGACTAGAATAGGTGTTTACGCATCGAATGTCACAGATAAGTGGTGGTATCATTCAACTTTGAACACTTTGAACTTTGAACACAGTTTGTTTCCGTAGTTTTGATTGTATCTCTACGTATCATAACCTCAACATCTCCATAACTTATTATCACTCAAAGATTGACTACGTCTTCCGTTAACATAAATACGAGTGGAAGGTGCATGAAGTGACCACAGTGACTTCGATTTTAATCAATGGAATTCCATAACATATATGTCAAAAATAAAATGGAAACTCACATTGGACAGACCTGTACAAGGCTTTTTGCAGTCTGTCGGTGTTCGTAGTTTTGACCTACTCGTATCCAACGCCCTTTTGGAGCCAGTCTTAACCTTCGCATCGCAAGCAGAAAGCTCTCTTCGGCTCCTAGATTCGAATCAACAAAATGGTAGGTAGAAGAAGAAGAAGAACGACTTCAAACTCAAGTAGTCAACTAGACCTGGAAAACCACCTCTTCAATTATCAGTTTAAATGAACACATAAAATGAACGGCATACGGGGAAAACTGTACATTTTGTGTGAGTTCCAGTGATAATAACCGGCTATACAAATTGCTTACAACTCAGTGGGATAATGATTTAAAAATGCCTAACGATATAAATGTTTACGGGTAAAGTGAAGTGCAACAACCAAGATAAAGACGCTATGAGCCTTCCCAAACATCTTGTGATTTTCGAAACCACGAACCTTATCCATGTAGTTTCCATATGAGGCTGATTGATTATATTGTTTGTTTTATCTGGCAAATTCTTTATCTTATTTACCACAAACCGACGATGTTTATGATTGGTATGAGATGATATATGCTCAGCTCAGCGAATTACCTAATAATCATTGTCTCCGAAAATAAACTATGGTATAATAGAAGCTAGGAGTGTGAAACGAAGGGAAACAATTAAGTAGGAAATCTCAGATGAACTTACGAATTCTGACTGATGAATTGATTTTCTCTTTCCGCGTTGTCACACTGTTGCTCAATATGCCTCAAATAATCAAGAACAGGTAGTCCATGAATTTTCACCTTATTGTTATTTAACGATAACTCCCGTAGAACAGAATATTGACGACTGAGTTCACGTCTTAGCTGTTTAATCTCTTTGTCAATCACCAGAAGAATTCCACCCCGATTTTTCAAAACTGACGGGTCTTTCATTTTTCTCTGAAGAAATGGAACGAAGATCACCATTAGTTATTTGCACTTAGTAAACTCAAATATTTAATAGTAATAAAGGCAGCTTAATCCTGTTCGACCTACACAGTCTCATTTCTAACCAATCCACTAACTCTTCCTTCGATTTTAGTACCTTGAGGATTCCAGATGGGTAGTCTATGCCTTTTGAAATGACTGAGATTAGCAATCACACCACATACATTATGAACACGTTTTTCTATGGTTAGCGTTTCCATTCTTCAAACTCATTTCTAACACAGTCAACACCGTTTTGTTCTAGAGGGAAAGACATAACTTGTGAGTGTCTTTCTATCTCATCAACGGATGACTATTTCCAATCACCAAAATTGACAATCAAAAGCCTACAGCCTCTTTATGCATTCGGTCTACAACAAACAATTGCAAAATAGGAGAGAGGGAGGTGTGACATATTACACACACCCTACGATGAGTAGTCAGATATCCAGTGGTCTTCTGAAGTAATGCAGGTCGCCAATCCCAAAATAAGCTTCCCGTATACTCGCTGAGATTACGCCAGATATCAGTTCACTGGGGCTGGTGCAATTCCACAAACAAATAAGGTCGTCAGTGTATTTCACTGCAATCCAGTAAATCCCAGGTATATAGTGTAACCTTACATCGAACGGACCGGTAAACAAACCCATAATCACGATCCAGGATTTCAAAAATCTTGGCATTTTGTCACTCATCACCGAAAAGCACTGTATCTAATTCTTCTTAGTGAAAAATTTGATTTTCGAATGGTTACAGTTAAACAAAGTCATATCAATAAGCACACCTCTAATAAATATACACTAGGAACATTAGACATCCTTCGGGTTTACCAGCTCCAGTCATTATCTTACGTGACAACTCTACATAAGTACTTCCATGACAGTCCTGACGAGTACTAAAAAATCGTCATCTTGCCTCTACAGATAATCACTGTTACAATATCACTTGAATGAACCATGTGTCATGAAATATTTAATCACAAATCAACGAAATGTGCGATAACACGTTAAGTGAGAAACTAGGAAATACACAAAAAGCATTATACACCTACCTCTGACAATCGAAGACGGGACAAAATGCACTGCCACGATTCAATCGCCTTGAATAACGTCTCATTCTCCAAGTAAAACGCCTTCCACCTATCGATCTGAAAGTCAGTGGCTCGTATTTCAATAAACGTACCTCGGATTCAAGGGATGTAAGCAGCGATTCATTCAAATCCTCATTCCCAGAAGTCAGACGAGGATCACGGTCATCTTCACCAACAAAGCAGTTTTCCCACCATACAACTAACTCAGTTTGACACTTTGAAATGAATGAAGTTAAATTTTTCAGACGCAGTTGTTTGAGGCGCTCCAGTTCTCTTTTCAGCTGTTTCAGAATAAAGCGAACAACTTCGATAACACAAAATATCTTCAACATGGTATATATTCAGATGAGTTCAATGTGCCCTTACTATCACAGTTTATCACACCGACTAAGGCATACGTTTCGCGTGTTACGATGATACTTCATAGGACACCAAGAACTCGATCGTGATCATCTGAATTACGAAACACTTCAGAACACGAATATATTACACAACAATTTTCCACAAACACTGTGGTTAACCCACACATTCACAAACCCATGATTAAAGCACAATACGTGTTTCGAGGCGTGCACTCTAAACACCTCACCAGTACAGAACACAAAATACATGAAAACGCTTGGGATATATTTTGGACAGAAAATTTGGCGTTACAACGCAACAGCTGGCACTAGGACGCCACCTAAATGTATAGCACGACCATTTATAAGGGAGGAAAGCGGAAGTAAACCACAAACATAAGGTCAATCCGATGCCACAAGATAGAATAGAAGAGAAAGTAAGTAAAGTAACTATATACACGACAGTCTATAAATTAGCCCCAAACATTCTTTGGTTTTCACATAAAAATACACAGAAGACTGTAATTTGTGTTCTTCGCCTGAGTTGGTGCAATCAATGAATTTGTCATGTAGAGTTTCACGTCTGTGAAGTCTTATGACAGAGGGAAATATGTACGGACATTTTGTGTATGCCCAATTAAAAGAGCGTCAGTGCATACACAATAAATATTCCTACCGAAAATTCGCATTTCGATCACCACATTCCTAACTGTCTTCTTCTCTTACCTTTGGTTCTTTTTCGAATTCCGATATGAGTCATCTTTCACATCAAGCCACATTCATAAAATAGCACACATTCACGCACGAAAATCGTTAATCAATACAACAACTGAGCTATATAAAACTAGCTAGTCTAACACAACATACGTCCAATTTTTAAATTATGTTCCATCCTGGTGATTACAAATCAACACCAACGACACTACTCCAAGACATGGAATTATTTAGGACTCAGTTATTTGCAACATATCTCCATGCATCAGACTTAGTCATAACGAGTGAGGCTTGGTGATACTATTTAGTACTCCAGGCCTAGGTATAGTAGCACCTGAAACACAGACGTCTAAAATTAAAGTGCTTATGCCAATAGGCTACATCTCTACCACAATATACATGTATATGTATATATATCCAGATAGAGGTAATTTTTTTGCTTTATTCCAGAAACAGTACTAGTGGTACAGTGTGGAATTTTCAGCACCTATCTACAATATTGTATCTAATTTTATCAAACATTTAAAAGGAGCATTTCAAAAAATAAAGACAACGCAAACAAAAAACACAAAAATAATTTTTAAAAATGCGAAAAACACCAAGTAGAAAGGAAAATAAACAACATAAAATAATATCTCAGTATTGGGTAGTGGAGGCTATGATATGTTTATACGTGGTGACAGTAAATCTATAGTCATACTAGAAGTTATGAAATGATATTTAAGAATGTTTATAGCCAAGATGATCAGTTAATTTGATTGAACAACACTAAACAATCATAAAATAACATTTCAGGGTTTTTATTTTTATTGTCAGCACTGATGCAGTGTTTGTTGTGGTAGTGTGAGTAATCATGCATAATACAAAATTTTAAGATGGTGATAATGGCATTCACAACCAAGATTGTCAGTTAATATTGCTGAACAAAAAAAACAATCACAAAACTAATATTACATGATAGTTAATGACAAGACAATTTTGCAATACTCAGTGATAATATAGTCGGAACCAGTAGATACACAAAAGAAGGAATAGAGTAAAGTGCAAAAAAGTAAGTCAATGTCAATAATTTAGGTAGCTTAGTACGTTTAAGGTGTTCACTATAGAATAGGAATGAGTGGAATAAAAGAGCCTAAAATTGTGTTATTAACAACAAAGTGATAGGTTTTGCGTTTAACATTGTCTCTGTCACGTAGGACACGGGCCGAATATGGTATCGTTGAGTTCGTGTACTTGGTTGTACGAGCATATATTATTTTATACTGATCTCTGGTTCTACCCGATGAGACACAAGGAGAGAGTTGGGAATAGAGTGGTGATGGGGGTCGGAGAATATGGTTCGAGACCACTTTTGGCATGTACTCAGATGCCTTTCTACTAAAGTAGTGATGAGCTGACTGAGTTTTACACCACTAGTCCTACTAACTACCTTCAACATCTTTCTCAGGATGGTATAGTCCTTTCACAAGATTATCTGTTAACTTTTTTGTTCATGATTTTAGTTAGTGTCACAGCTCCATATATTTCACCATTGTTTAATTTACTCACTATGTAGGCGCCTAACGCTGAAGTGGTTTGACTTCGTGTCTGTTTGTATTTTATCTATGGATAATTAAAATAGAGTTATTGAAAGAAATTTCTGAGGCCAATGTAGTACTACCCTGAAGAGCCACTGGGCATAACTACGAAGATGTGTATAGACTAACTTCACACAATTGTGAAACAGTTGTCCTCCTACAAGCAGAAAGCATGAAATATGAAGTATGGAGTGTTGGATAAATTTATGAAAGTGACACCATTCTTAAGAGACAAATGAATTTGTATGCAACAATGAAATGCTATGTTAGCAAGATATCGCCTTAGCCATTTCCAACTCGAGTCTAAAAGAAATAAGATAAGAAATGCATAAAACGATCTACGGACATACTGGATTCAGATTACCAGCGTCAACAGGGCAGGTGAACGCATGCTACATAGTACAACTCCACGTGACCACACATTAAATTCTACATGAAGTAGCCTTGAAGAAATCACCGATGAATCTACGCCTTGAATATGCCACTGATTAACATCTTCCTATTTCCCAAAATAATAGTGTAACAACTCTTTGAGAATGACTCTTCTCTTTTCTTACATTTAATACTGGGGATCCTGCACCATGCATTCAACGGGAAGTAAATACTTCAACAGACCAGTTTTAAAAGATTGGTGGCGTAAACAGTCTATGCTGAAAATAGCACGATATCAGACTACACATCAAGTTGCTAGTCTTTTGACACACAATTAACTATGATATATAAATCCAATGTAGCAAAAACTTACGTGCCGAAAGAAGCTGGCTGATACTTCTTGTTTGACATCTACCGTATCCGTAGGATCCACATTCAGGCGTCTTTCCAAGTCTAGAATTTGTTTCGTGAGAGCTTGACACTCGCCATCCAACTGAACCAACTCTTGAGCTAAACAGCTTCGGAGTCGAGCGACACGATCCAGAAAATCAGTTGACAATGACAGATTCTCCATGGCATTTGGAGCCATAATCGCAACCATTATTTCATCCTCCTTTGATACCTCCCACTGAAGGACAGTTTTCAAGTTGGTTATTTCTTGAATGAGTTTAGAGAGACGAAGACAACGGGAGCGCTAAAAGAATTACAACGCATAAGGAATGATTACTTTCTCTAATGTAAGGTGATCAATGTTTGCTTTCAGAATCTCAAGATGCTCGGAATTCGGGACGTGAATAAATGTCACTGGGACTTCAGGTTCACCGAGGCGTGCACACAACGCCCTCTCATCCTCTTTAAGGGAATTGTACCTTTGTAGGATTGCAGTTGACTTTTCGGAAAGTGATTTGAAGTGATCATAGAGAAGTTTCTCTGTCATCACCAGAGAGGAACAGTCAGGAAAACAGCTGGTCAACCCCATCTCTGACTCTATTTCTTTGATTCTAATCTTCAGACAGAGGTTTACACAAAACAAAACCAACAAACTTTCAACTTTTTGATGGATTCCACAATCGACTGTTTGGCTAAAATTTCTTCGTTGTACATTTCCTCCAGCATAGATAACAGGTAGGAAGTCAGAGCATCAACTCTCAGATTTAAATTTTCGCCTTCTATGCCCATTTCCTTCCAGATATCAGATATTGAAGTAATTTTCAGCGTAATTTGGTCTAAAATCTTCGCAACCCACGGATAACTTGACATTGTATTGCCGCCGAAATCAACAAAGTACGTATACGGCTCACAGAAAGCACACAACTTTGTACGGAGTCCAATGGTCAGCACTAAATATAGAGATAAGTAATAATATCAATTTAAAGAATTTCACTTATGGTAACAGCATTGCTACTTATAATCTAGGCTTAACAGACACTTCCACACATCTATGATTGTGAATTGAAGACTTGTCAAATCATTAATGAAACTGGTATCCATTAGCATTTTCGCAAGTTAATGTAAGTCAAGTTGAATTCTCTGGGCTCACTTTGTGGTTGTGAGGTACAGCTTTCTGGTGTTCAATAGACTTCTGCTTAGTTCACACGCCACTTGACTGTCGTAGCTCTGGTTGACTCTAAAATGAGTGGTGTTGCGATTAATTCTGTGTAGTTTGTAACATACTGTTTGCTAAGAGCGTGTTGCTACTGTGAATGGGGTGGGTCCTCTCACCCGTTAGTCGCCACTGTGGTTGATAAAAGAGATAATAATTATGGCAGATAGAGTTAGTGTAGGTTATGTGGTCATGAAAAGTAAAAGAGAGGAAGGAAACGTAAAAACATTCAACTTACGAAATTTGAGATCCATGTATATGTGTATATATATACCACCATAGGCATGCATATCATTGACAAAAATAATGGTGTAATGGACTTAATAGTCGGAGTAATAAGTGGAGTAAGACAATGGGGAGTGGGAGAAGCAGAAGACAAGGTTAGGTCTATACGCGTTGGAAGTGTGTGAGGTTCTAAGGGGATATGCCTTTTGAGAATGGTTCATCGTCTTTCCACGATTGTGAAAACTTCTCTGAAAGCTATCCGTAAACGTTGCAGTAGACACATCTACCAGTAAATTGTTTCAGATATGGCAAACTCGCCTTGGAAAGAAATGGGAGAGCACTGAATTCTAAGCACTCTGGTTAACCATACTTCGTAGATTCCTACGAAGAATTCCATACGTTTTCCATGGCACAAAAACTTTGTTCGGGTGATTCTGATCATTTGTAATCCTATACGCAGTAATTAAGTCCCCTTTCGTCCAACGGTAAGCGAATGCAGAAATACCGAATTTCTTCAGCCATTCGTCACATGGTTTGTTTCAGAGATCCATCACCCCTTCTGTTGGCCGCTTTTGGATATTGTGCACTTCAAGGTGTGGTCTTACGGATGCTCAGTACATCGTTAGAAAGTTTTCAAATGTGAGTGTCCCTAACTGTCAATGTCCAGCTCTAACTAATCTCGATTTCCCGCTGTACTTGGAAGACTTTCAGGAGCTATGCGAAAATCAACAAGATATGAAAACAACAAGTAAATACAGTGAATCAAAAAAACACCAATTGATATGACACACCACACATATATTCAAACAGTACACATAACCTTGCAGATCATGTCTTGATGTAATTCCTTTGAAGAATTGCAGGACTTACACCAGTACGCCTGCGACCCTTCACAGGTTGACGAATGTAAGTTGAAGAATGTCTGGACACAAACAAGTTTAACCAACAATTACGTTAATCGGAACCCACTCTATTAATTAACAAAAATTATGTACAATCAATACATTAAATGTTGTAGATTCTGCCTTGACGAACTACCATTGAAGAACTGTAGGACTTACAGCAGTACGCCTACATTCCTTCTCAGGTTGACGATCCACGTGGAAAGACGTCCAAACACAAACAAAATTAACCAAAAGATAGATGAGAGATGATGCCAATTCAGTATATACAACGTGAACATATTGTTATGTACTCGTCGCTAGATTATTGTTATGGACTGGTCGAGAAACTAATAGTCCTGACGCGAGAAGGCGGAAATCAGAGGACCACTAGGTTTGCGATGATACTTCTATTGTCCAAACACAAGGAGACGAAAATAAATGGGCTCACACCAAAGTGGTAAGCAAGTAAAGTAGTTGTAAAGTAAAGTAGTTCACACAAATTGTGAATGCGAATATATATAAATAATTCAGACAAGCGTGGGAAAAATCATTAGACAGTCTTAACATGAATGGCTAATTATAATGGAGTGTCGATCCAATTATACATAGCGAATATAGCAGACATGCCAACAAACATATATGGGTATATGTCACCAAGCAACGGACTGTCAACAAACACTCATATTATATATAATATAATATAAGGAGAATACACATTATTAAGGAGACAAGTCCATACAAGTGAAGTGGTCACAGACTAACCGAGCAAACAGAAAGAGAGACCAACATGCACACACACACATAAATATATATATGTGGATACATATCACATATGTACAAAATAACACACTGAGTACGATGGACTGCTTCTCGAGCTAATAACCTTAAAGAATTATAGGACTTACAGTGGTTAGCATACAGCCCTTCTCAGGTTGACGCCCTAGGTTGGAAAATCGTCGCAGAGTCCATTCACTGACTTCCCGCTATCATCCATATCCTCATATCTGAACAGTGACACGTTCATGTCATTGTATCGTAGAATATAGATGACGAACAAACATACGACGTATCTGGTCAACCAAGAGTAGGCACAGAGTAATTTACACCAAAGACAATTGTCAGTCACGTCTCGTAAACCGTTAATGCCCAGCTCTTGCTACGCTCGGGCTCACGCTGTTCCTTGAAGTTTCTCAGAAACGCTTAGTAATAACGGACGCAAAAACCAAAACTTAGTTTGGCGACTCGATAATTCTTTATTGTAACACCAACATATAAAAAATAATTCTACTAAGGTTTCTGATGGTTGTCTCCTGACTTCTTTCCGAACAGCGACCGATGAGACGATGACTGTCGTATTGGTGCCTCCGCGAAAATTGGGGAAGTTGGTTTTGAGCAAACAACCATGAATTGATCGTTCAATCTTCAACTACATTGACACTCCCCGGCAAAAAATGATCTATTCCTTTTTTCCATCACGACCAATACACGTTGACTTGGATGCAATTGCGAGAACCTGGGTCACACGGACAGAGCTGAAATGGAAAACAAACAGAAAAGCCAACACACCACAAGCATACTCACAGCACAATCTCACACATCAATGACGACCTGCGCCTTCCAGTTAAAGGCATCTTCTTGACACATCCTCTTGCAACACAATCGCCACTTCCTAGAATGACTCTTGCAGAATGCAACGTGACCATGGCAGCACCTCACGATACTCTACGCTCATCCTCTTATCTACTCACTACCAATTACCACTGCAATCGCTTGTCACTCATTCTGCCTCAATTCTAGTAACGATGACGTATGCGAGCCTCAGTCGTTTACACTCTTTCTCCCCGGCGTATACGACCCATCTGCTGTCCTTAACATCAATCAATTCATTCACGGATGTAGAAGAGTGGACACAACTTCAGAAGTAATCGCGACGAAAATTTTAACAAAATTACGTAATAACAGCGAGGTAGGACGTTACAATCTCTCCATATAACGTGGAAATATCTTTTCGAATTCTGGAATATCGTGGTCTATATTTGACTACTATATAATTATAGCTGATATTGGTTGCACCTCCGGTAGCTAAATATCCAAATTTATCACCTCCAGAATACTGTTTGGATCCAGTCAGATTCGTGTTAATAAAGAGCAATCTATCACAAAAGAACTATAGAGAAGTCCTTAGTTTTGTTGTTTATAACTGTCAGAGTTAACTCGTTTGATAGTGGTCTATTTTTAGTTCGTACTTCATACATTCATACCTGTTTATTGTTGTTTTTATCTACTTAGATAATATAACAGTATTTCACACACTTTTGTCAATTTTTGAGAAATTTTTATAATCTTTACCTCCATAATGGTCAAAGTTATTAAACGAGTTAGTACTGTTAAGAGACTAGCATCAAATAGTCAGCCGGTCACTAGAAACATTAGTCCTGACGATGAATTTGTACTAAGATCAATTGATACACCGAGAGTTATAGTACCAAACTTAATGGAAGAACTAATCGATAACGTAGCCCGTAACACTAGTGATCTAAAGATCCTTCAGAAATCTATAACAGACCTGCAGGATAAGTTCGAAAGTATCACTCCTTTCCTCCAACTTTGTGATCCATCACAAGAAATTTGCTTAGATTCACTCCTCAAATCTGAGCGCCTGCTAGACTTTTTGACTGCAGAGGCTGTAAAGAGGGTCATGTCCTCATACAATGTTTTAGGATATAATATACCAGACAATGTACCTATTATCAAACTTAAAGCAATCTGTCTACAGGCATGCAACATTTCAGTATCTGACTGCCAGGTTCTGCGTCTTCGTAAGAAATCCGCAAACCACCCATGTCCTGTACTCTTCAAATTTAAGTCTATTGACCTAGCTAAGAAATTTTTGGAGTCTGGCAAAACTCTTGGCTCCTCAACACCCTACACCAATATCAGGATTGTACCTGATTTAACTTCTTGCCAAAGACGTTGCCGCGCAGGTAAACTGAGGGAAGACAACCCCAATAAGACAACCGATGTTAATACTTCCCTCGTTGTATTGCCTGATGACCAAGAGCACCAGATAATATCGCATACACAAACTAACAGTAGTCAAGCAACTGTTGAAGACTTAGCTCGAAATACTGAAATTTCAGACATAGAAATGTCAACAGATCACAGTATTGACGTGCATCCCTCGCACACTGGCACTAATGCCAAACCCTCGAAAAAGTCTAAGCTGAATTCAGTAGTACACTTTGAATCTCTCGGGAAGTCATATACCTCACAACCTCTTAGCCCGGCTACTGTGAAGCAGCAATCACATGTGGCCACCCAGGTAGGTGTAAATACAAGGCGTTATGATAAACGTCCTATTTCCGTTAGGAACACCAAAAAAACTGTTGAGACTATTCATCAGAAATCCAGTTTATTAGGAAATCCTACTAATCACCAGCAGCCCAAATTATACAGGCCGACTAATACGGATAAAGCTAAACCAAACGTTAGACCCGGAACACTAAAGCCCATAAGTAGGAAAGTTTCAAATGGGTCACTGGCTCATT